GCTGCCATCTCAAAGAGATGCCAGATATCTTTCTTCCTCAAATACCTCCTCCTACTAACTGATTCGTCGCAGCTCATAAATCACCAGGTACTAACTGCCTGGGCACCCATAGCCCACGTCAACAGTGAAGGAGGTAGAAAGAATAGAAATATAAACTTATAAACCTCTAAATCTGATCTTCAAGATCTAGTTCCCTGTCTCTATCCTAAGATTGTCAGTGGAACACATAGATCACTGCTGCCAGTGATGCTGTAGGATGAACATAGATATGGCCTTGTGTCTCTCATGTTTGCCAGTCAATCCGAGTTTCGTTTACAGATCTTCGGTAGGCTACATGCCTAAGGGCTCGATCTATAGGACCATGGGTGCAACCATCTCCAGTAGACCTCATCAATATCTCATATCACCTTACTCCTAGACACATTGATTTGTTCATGCCCTCGTCCCGCCCCCGTCCCACCCCACCATTGCTAGCGCCCAAATCCAAGCCCAAGCCCCAGCCCAAGCCCAAGCCCAAGCCCAAGCCCCAGCCCCAGCCCCAGCCCCAGCCCCAGCCCCAGCCTCAGCCCCAGCGCCAGCCTCAGCCCCGTTCTTACTGAATCAGTTCCAACACTCTCCTTTTCATGGCCCGGACCAGGTCCCTCTGCCCTTCCAGCTCCTTCTCAAACATGGCGTCCTTTCTCTCAGCCTCCTGCTGCTTCTGTTCTAGCATCATTTGCAACCGGGCTCTTTCTGCCTCACACCTGAGGACAGAAGACTCGGTTTTAGGAGAAAGGCTCAGAACCTGTGATGGGAGCTGGTCTACATATAGGCACAGCATCTACATACATGAACATATAGAGGCACACAACACACATACATCATACACCATATGTACTACATATTGCACACACTCACATACCCACCACCTCTCTGCAGTGCACACATACACACACACTCACACCCCCACAATAAACATGTATACCACACACTAAAATGAGCACCATTAGACAGATTCAGCAATTGACGAAAAATAGAAACAGGGCCTAACCTTGAGTGTTCCTGTAGAGGGCGCTACTGAACATGTCCTTCCCTCCTTCCTGCCCTCCTTCCTTTCTCTCCCTCCCTTTCCCTCCTTCTCTTCCTCCCTTTTTCCTTCCTTCTTTCCCTCCCTACCTTTTAACATTTCCACTTTAAAACATAACTTTGGAAAGGTATATTTTTGGGAGGCCTGACTGGATGGAGGGTGAACGCCTAGCAATCTGGGCTGCGGACACTACGTCCAGCTGGGGACAACTGCCCATGGAGGAGAGCCCTGGAGGCCTTGGGGTGATTATCTTGCTTTAAAGTATTTTTAGAAGCTGTGCTATATTGTCTTTTCAATTTAAAAAGCAATAGGAAAAACATGACTTTCCTAAATTTCTGTCTCCGTTTTGGGTTTGGAACTGCCGCAGCTCTATTCTTGCTTTTCTTGTTGTTGTTAGTGGTTTTCTGGAAGGTTCCAAGAAGTTTACTAAACTGAAGTTTACTAAAGTTTACTAAACTGAAAATAAAATAGCCCAAGCTTCTCTCTCCACGACCTGGTTGGGAGTATACACAAGCTAGCAGTGGGTAGATGCTAATGAGTCCAGGAATCAAACGTAGGGCCTTGTACAAGCCAGGCGGGCACTGTATCAACCCTTGGACTATTGGCTTTTAACATATAGCCAGTTAGCAGTCCCCAAGACTGAAAACTGGGTGCACTTTCAAATCTTGCCAAAAACCAAAAAACCACCGAAAGCAGACCTTGACTGGACTTTTCTTAGTTGCTGACCTCCAGGTTCCTGTAGAGGGCGCTCTCAACATTTTCCTCATCTAGTTCTCTTGCCCTCTAGGCCTCTAAGCCCTTCCTTTTGTGACCACCATGGGGTGTGTGTGTGTTGACTGGTGGGAGGGATAACCCTATCAGGCCCCTACTGTGTCCTGGTGGCTATTTTAGGTGCCAGCCAGTAAGAGGGCTGTGGCCACCGCTCCTGTGGGACTTAGGTAATTAAGACAAGTTTTGTGACTGAGCCCTCCAAAGGCCGAGGCGGAGAGTAGAGAAGGTGCTGGAGGGGCCACTGAGACAATCTGGCCTTGCGCGTCTGTGAGCTGGAGTGGTTTGTCTGCCTGAGTGACTGAGAGGAGGGTGCTGGGCAGGGACCCCAGGGAGAGGGCAGGAGAAGCAGCAGAGGCAGGGAGGTCAGCAGGGCTCCGGGGAGAGCCACTGAAGTATTTCAAACAGGGATGGCAGGAAGGGATGTGGGAAGGACAAAGGTGTCTTGAGCCCCTAGTTTATGCCATGCCTTGGGGCTGAGGCACCATGGCCTCGCTTCATTCAGTTTTCACAATGTCGTCAGATGGGGGAGTATAAGCTTCATTTCATGTGAAAGAAAAGCAGAGTCTCAGGTGGGGTATCGTTCTTGCCTCGGGTCACACAGTGTGGTGGGAGGATCAGGAGTCTGGACGAGAACCTGTCCAGCTCTCTTTTTTCTTCTCCACACCTTCCCCCAGTCACCAGTACTGTGGCGGCAGGAGCTGGGCAGAGCAAGTGGCTTCCTATCACGTCGCTCTGTCTTTTGGGATGGACTTCCTGGGTTTTGTTTACTGTCATAACCTGTTCCCTACCCACTTGTGGTCACACAGGTACAGCAAACACAACTGGTAGAGAGGATGTACCCGGAGAACTGGGACTGGCTGGTGGTGAACCCCTGTCACTGGCTGGATGCCCACAGTCCCTTTGCCCAGTGGTGGGCTCAGGGCTTGGCTCCCGAGTCTGGGCTTGGCACTTGCTACTCCATCTGCAGTCTGACATGACTCTCCACCACCTCCCAGGCCACCTTCTCTTCAGCACGTCACACCTGACTTCTTGCCCAACAGTCCTCACCTGGAAGTCTGACTGGTGTCCCAGGCTTTACAGTTCCCAAGCTCTGCTCTGGACTTTCCGTACAAGCCCATCCATCCCATCTTTCCCTACCTCTGTGAACAGTTGTTTTTATCTCTTTCTCTCAGACCCACGGCCAGTCTCCTAGGAAGCCCTGCTTCAAAATTTGCCCACAAATCAGCAGCTGTACCCTCTCTGCTCCGGCTAAATACCTCTGCTCTCCTCCTGTTGTTCTGACTGGTTTTTATGTCAGTTTGACACAAGCCAGGCTTGCAAGGGAAGAAGAAATCTTTCTTGAGAAAATGACTCCATAAGACTAGCCTGTAGGCAAGTTTGAAGGGACATTTTCTTAATCGAGAGCAGATGTGGGAGGGCCCAGGTCACTGTGGGCATGACCACCCCGAGCAGGTGGTCCAGGATAGTATATAAAAGCAGGTTGAACAAACCCCGAGAGGGCAAGCCTCTTCATCAGCTCCTGCCGCCAGTTCCTGCTCTGACTTCCCTTAGTCACGCACAGCTCTGTGGAACTGTAAGCTGAAATAAACCCTTTCCTCCCCAAGTTGCTTTCGGCCATGGTGTTTTATCTCAGCAAAAGAAACCCTAACTAAGATACCTATTTACCAAGAAGCTTTCTGGAAAGAAGGCCTCTTGGGAGTTGTTGATGCTTGCCCAGAGAGGAAAGGCAGAACACACTGAGGGGACAGCAGGATGGAAGGCCCTATGGTGGGACTGGGCATAGCAGGTTTCAGGATCATAGTGGAGGCCCTTTTTGCCCCAGTGGGGTGAGGAAAGAACCCTCTAGTCTTGTTCCATAGGGTCAGCCTGGACTATTCAAGTCTACGAACGGAAAGTAAGTTGGAGCATTACTGCTAATGGGCACAGGCATCTTTAGGGAGAGACACCAGTGCCATAAAATTGACGGAGCCA